TGGGATGCGGATTCGAACCCGCGACCCTCAGATTATGAGTCGAGCGCCTTATCCCGCCTGGCCATGCCGGGCCTGTTCGATTAGTTTCTTGCTAATTTGTGTGTTGTGTGCGCTCATTGGAAGCCAATTATTGCATATATACGGCTATCAACTTAAAAGCCTAACAAACTGTATTAACTGATACACACGTATAATACTTATATATAAGAACATAACGCAATAATTTTCTTACCTAGGTGTATTTTCAATGATCGTTAACAATGTGCTGCTAGACATTTGTAATTTTTGTATTATGCCTTAATTAACTTTTCCATGTGTCTATTGCCATGTGTATATGACAGCAAGCATGCACAGTGAAACATTTATTTTAGAAATTAAATACTTGTGTGTGCATTCATTTTAATTTCTATCAATAATAATAAGCAATGGTATTCAACTCAAAAAAAAAAAAAAACCGATTGCTTTGTGTTATGTAAGAAAAATTAACTTACTGCAAACAATGTCCCTCTTAATATTTACACTCCAATGCGCATTCACAGAAGAGTGGTAAAAGACATAACCTTACTTTTTGTTTTTGTGACATCTTATCACGGTTCCCTGCCTTACCAATGTAAGTTTACTTACGGCGCCCTATAATATCGTTACTGATGTACTCTATTTACGTCATGTTATTTATTCTTTCACCCACCCACCCGAAAAAAACGTGGCTTGTATCTATATGTAAGAAGTACAAGTTATGTCAAATATCAAAGAATGGGTTGCCCCACTGTGGTTCAGCGGCAAGTCTGAAAGCTTATAACGCTTCGAGACCCGAGGTGGGCAGAGCACAGATAACCCATTGTGTAGCTTTGTATTTAACAACAAAATACTGGGATCGATACAGTAAATAAAACTGAATAATAAATATCGGTTCCTCTGTTAACAATAATTCACGGAAATATCTGCGTCTGTAAAACACTGCATTCGTCAAGAATTAACGCATCATATACATAACACTGAACAATTCTATCTCTTCTTTTTTTTATTTTTTATTTTATTTATACAATGGAATGTGTATAGCTGTGATATGGTAAGCCAAAGAAACATTTCTTGCCTTAACAGTAATAGCCCATACTTAAAGCACGACACCTCACTAAAATAAAATATAATGATACCATAAATAAATCATATAATGTTAGAAAAACCTTACCCTAATTGTGGTGAAATAAATAAAATTGAATCGATGAAAAATTGCATTTTAACAATTTAATCCAACTTCCATCGAAACAGTTGTTACTGAATTTGCTAATATAAAATGCCGTCTCAACTACATTATGTCTGTCATATCACAGTTCTGGTATTGGGAGAAAATCCTCTTCAACACTGAATATAACAGATATTTTGTTTACTTTCACTCAGACGTTCTTACTGTTACAAGGCAGAAAAAGTCCAGATGAAATATCCTCAGTTAATAAATCTGTTTCACAGAAGTGGCCTTGAGAACATGGGTTTCTCGGAACAATTATACAGCAACGACAAGTTTCATTTAAATAGCTAAGTACTCATTTGTCTTACACTCTCAACCCTCTTTATAAGACTATAAACAATCAAGGAAAAAATACAGCTGGAAGTCGACTAAGGAAACAACTCACATTCTCCATCTGGCGTTGCAGCTGTGCCACATTCCGTTTCTCCTGGCGAACGTTGTATTTCTCTTGTTCCAGTTGACGTTGAATTTCTGTAATTCTTCTTTCTATGGAATTCTACAGAAACATATATTACTAAGTACCATTATAACAAAAAAATTCTGACATTTGGCCATTTCTCAAATATTTTTTGATGAAAATACTTGTCACTGTTGATTTGAATAAATCATCTTTATTCACTAAGGCTGCACATTAAAGTATCACGTCCTTTTTATGGTATATACTTGAATTGAAATATTCTGGAATGACAGGACATTTATCAATAAAAAACAAAATTATGTAAGTGTGAATGAGCCCTTCGAAACGGTTTT